CAAGAAATAATTTAAGACTAAAATGAAACTTCATCATCAGTATCAATAGTATTGATAAACAAGATTTTACTAATACCTTTCCCCCCAATTGTTTTATTATTTAAAACATTATGTGCTTTTTGTTTATTTACATTTTTTAGTGTATGAAAATTCTATCGATAAAGAAAATCATTTACTTTTACTTATCAGTAATAGAATTAATTATCTTTAATCAGAGATTTAGGTGCTCATATTGATGGATTCATTGCTGTGGTTGCACACACGATAGTTGTTGGAGCCTCAAAGGTTTGTTTGTTATTTTCTACAGAACATTTTTATTGGTATTTAGAGTTGTGTGTTTATCAGTTGATTTTACTTTGTTGTAGGACAATAAAATTAAAGGTCGCAAAGCAGATGTAATACATGCGGCTCATTATGCTGCTGAAGCAGCTCTGAGACTTGTCAAGCCTGGAAATGATGTAAATTTCTTTTATGTATTTAATAGCAATATTTATTCTTTATCGTAATTTGCAGTGTTAATTAGGAAAAATTAAAAAATTGTGTTATCTTTTATTTTTTCAACAATATTTTATAACTGTGCTTATTAATCATTAAAAATAGTGTCAGTGTTTTTAATTAGCAGATTTTATATTTTGAATTCTTGAATTAAAATCATATATGTTACCATTTTTTTTTAATTATGCAAAATGTGTTAAAAATTAAAGGTTAAGATCATTTGTAATGTTCTGAAAGATGTTTTAATTACTGATCACAAAGTGTAAAAGTATTTTAAAGAAAAAAAAAAAAATTATTGTTCCTATTATTAAATAATAAAAATTTTGTATGTATGTTTTCCTGCCAATAAGTGTGGGAAAACGATGTTATGTAGAATCACCATCTTGACTTGATTAAAAAAGCTCAACAATTTAAAACCAGCATCTTCCCACTCCTCAACGATATTTATTTTTCAAATTTAATTCAAAAACTCAGTGATATTATATTGAGAGTGAGATAGCTTTAAAAGTACCATATTGTTGCTGATAATGAAACAAATATAACAAAAATATGAAAATTTTTAAAAATATTTTCATTTTATATCTTATAGTTTTTCAGCATGTACATTTAATTTATTGGCAAAGATTTAAATGCATGAAATGTTAATGGGTATGTTATTCAGGTCATAAAATAGTTTCAAAGACTTTAGTTTGCCCATACCATATTTAATGGATTCAAGGAACTAATATAATATATAATCTGGTAAGTATGTTGGAACTCATTATTTAACTCCCTTGAAAGTTATATAAAAAATAGGGAAATTTTCATGCATAAAATATGTATTGCATTTCTTAATGTTGTCTAATTAAAATTTTAATTACTTTGATAAACTTCAATATGTGATAATCAATTAGTTAATGGAGGATCAAAATTTAACTAAAAACTAAACCCAGTGGTGCAACAGCCCTAGTGGGCCACAGCCTGCTGTTTCCCAAAATCTGCTTTCTTGACCTTGGGCCCTGTAGTGCATCAGCATATGCCCTGGGAAAGTGGTCAGCTTGTCGCAAGACCCCCTAATGTTTAGTCTCCAAGCGAACTTGGTACTGATTTTATCGACCTAGGGATGTGGTCGATAATGTTAAAAAAAAAAAAAAAGGATGATAGGTTGAGTCAACCTTGCCCAGCCTGGGGATCAAAACCCTGACCTGTGGTACATCTGCAGAACGCACTAGCCACTTAGGATAAAATTTGCTTTAAATAAAAACAATCTGATTTAAGTCGAAAAATTTAGTTTCTTCAAGATAAGTTCAGATTAGAACGGTTTTTAAATACAAGTTTTTAAAATAATACTTGACAAATGATTATTTATTTTGTATTGAGTTATTTTCTTTTTGTGAGTGATGAGTCTTATAATAGTATCTTTTTGCATATTTATACAGTACTTTTTTGTACTTTTTATTCAGAACTAAAACATTGTTAAATTCAATATTTATAATTTTTTTAATTGCATTTTGAAAAATTATTCCTGTAGAACAACTCTGTGACTGATACAATACAGAAAGTGGCAGAGTCTTTTAAATGCAAACCTGTTGAAGGTAATGTATACTAATTTTTTTTAATCCTTCTGTACTTAAAAATGTATTTTTTTCTGTATTTTATGAAATGTGCAGAAGTATTTTTCTCGGGTGTTCATAATTATATGAAAAAATAGCAGTGGCATTTTAAAACATTATACCTATCTATCTACATCTCTTTATATAATTTATAGTAATTATGTTAATGCTAGCTGTGAAGTATAATTTGCCATTTCTATCAAGGAATAAATGTTGTTACATTTAAATAACAAATCGGACAATTCAAAACTATATTTCTATAAGAACTTTTGCAGTTTGAATGTAACATTTATTTATTTTTCAGAAAAGTGGCGTAGCTGTTAACATAGCTAGCTGCGAACTGTCATGATTTTTCTTCATATCTGCCAGTTTCCTGGTAGATCAATGAATCTCTTAGGTTTTAATCATTTGCCTTTATGAAGAAGAATGTTTTCCAGAGATTGAAATTTAAATAGTGCAAAGTTCATTCCATCATCCCTATTGTTTTTCCAGCATAATACTTCTTACTAAATTTTGTTTGATCTGAATTGTCTTAATCTACTGTAGTCATTTGTAGAACATTTTGTGAAGATTAAACCAATATTTAATTAGTTAATAATGTAATTAATTTTGTTTTATATTAGTATATGGTACATAATTAAGTTATCCATACAATGGTATGTACATTCTACTCACACACACAAAGAGGGACAGTTCTATATCTCCAATTCTTCTGGCCTGATTGATGAAATTTAACTTGTGTTTTTCATATGTTGAAAGTGTGACTTAGGATATATATTAGATGTATATATATAGCTTTGTTCTAACATTGGTATTTTGATACAAAATCAGACTTTTTCTGTAATGATGTACCGATTTTTTCCATATTTCAATTCTGCAGCTCAAATTATGCGAAAAAATAGAAAACAAGTTTTGTAAAAACTGCACAAGTAGTTTTTAAATTTAATAGTAGCTGGGTTATTAGTCTCTAATTAATTATTTAAAATATTGTTATATTTTCAGACACACACACACACACCAAAAAAAAAAAAAAGTTTCAATTTTGGTAATGCATTAGCTTTTAAACTACCAAGCCGTGGTGCCAACAAACATTCAGTTATGTAAGTAATTATTGTATTCCGTTGGTGTTCGTGGAATCTAAGCTAAAGACTAGTTATCTCCCTGTATTTATTTACTTCGAAAGATTAAACAAAATGTTTGGCTGAGTAGCTGACTTAAATAGCTGAGAAAGAGCATAATAATAAATACGTAATCTTAATGTCATTCAGTTGGAAACTTTCTTTCTTCTTCAATGGCTCAACAGTAATGGGTTATCCCTGGCCTTCTCCAGGCATCACTACTTTTGGCATATGTTTTCCACTTTTTTAACCTTTAAAATATCAAGATCTTTTTTGACACAATCAATCCATTTCAGTGGGGGTCTGCTCCCAGGTCTATTTCCTGTGAGCTTTGCCTGAAAGATTTTCTGGCAGCAATGATCTTCATCCATTCTAGCCAGATGGCCTTGGCCACTCTCTGTAATTTGACAAATTTTACAATATCAGGTTGTCTGTAAATTTTATAGAATTCTAAATTAGATCATCTCCATGATCCATTCACTTGGACCCCACAAGAATGCAACATAAGGTCTTTCACTCTAAAATTTCCAGAGCTTCCTCATCACGTAAAGTCAGTGTCCAAGTGTCTGATGCATATGTCAAGACAGATCTTATAATACTTGTATAAAGAAACAATTTAGTTCTTAATTTAAGAAAACTGGATTTTAAATAACTCTTCAGAGCATAAAAACATCTATTTGCAACAATGATTCTTTTATATATTTATGAGGCCAACACTTCTTTATTATTTATCTCCGTTAAATAAAATTGTTAACTTTTTCAAATTTATAATTGCTAATTTCAAAGTGACTAAGTTGTAAGTCAGACTTTAAGCAAGGTAAATATTTAGTTTTATTTTCATTTACAAATAAATGAATTCTTTTAGCACTTTGTTCCAGTGCCTTAAGAGTCGTTGCAGTTCAGGCAATAATGCTAATGTCATCAGCATAAGCCAGTATTTTAACTGAGTAAAAATATTTCCTTTAAGACTGATTTTTGAGTCTAATAACTTTTTCGAGTGCCATATTAAACAAGAGGCATGCCAGTGAATCCCCCTGTGAAGCTCCATTTTTTACCTCAAGCTGTTCTGTGTATTTACCCTGTATGCGTACTTGAATCATGGTTTCTTTGAAAGTTAAGCCCTGTAAGTGCAATAAGTTTTTCTGGAATTTTCAATGCATGCATAATGAGAAGTTCTCTGTTAATACAATCCTAAGATGTTCTAAAATTGATAAAAAGATTGCCAGTCTCGATTCCAAATTCTTTACATTTTTCAAAAATTTGTTTTAAGTTGAAAATTTGCTCAGTTGTATATCTTCCTTTCCTAAATCCACACTGATAGTTGCTTATTAAGTTATCAACAAATTGCAAAAGTCTGTCAAAAAGATAAGTAGACAGAATTTTATAGGGTGTGCAAAGACTGATTTCTCTGTAATTACTACAGTCTAGCACGTCACCTTTTTTGTGTATGCAAATGGTATTATGTTTCCATTCCTTTGGAAGTGTCTCACTCTTCCAAATATGTTGAATTAGTTCCTTTATAAGCTGTGACAGTTGGGTCCCAGAACTTCTAAGAATTTTGACAGTATGTTCTCAGGTAAATTCCACGTACCGAATCTCAAATCCTTAAAATCCCTTCTAAGTCACCTCCCTCCGTATTGACGGTCCCGAAAATTCTTCCTTTGATTTTATAACAAGAGCTTTTTACAGAGTGAGATAGTTGACCTTATGCCTAGTGCCCAACCTGGAGGGTCAGGCCTTCCCAGTTTTTGAACCTCCTGGAAGCAGAGGTGCCTAGCTTTACCCCCAGGCACTGGGTCCCATTTTAGTCACCTTTTACAATATGCATGAGCTACATCGGGACTATTCTTTCATACCTGGTCACCACACGGGTGGGAAACCGTCCTTCACAATAATGAATCTTCCCGCTGGTATCAATAACCACTTTGCAAAACTGCTGTGTCCTCAAATTAAGTATGTGTGCTTAGTCATCCTGTATGTTCTCTAGGTTTGTCTCCTTGCAATTTTCATTTTCCAAAAACTTTTTTTTTTTTTTTTTTTTTTTTACATGGAAGAGCCAATTAAAAAACAGCCTTGTACAAATCTTCTCTTTCATTACCTATCATACTTACATTAACACATATAATAGCATCAATATAAGCCTTATAGCTGTTTTTAATACATTCTGTTTATTAATTGCCTTACAGTGAATATACACTAAAACTTCAATTACTTGAGCTTTGGTAAATTGGACATTTCGACAAAATAGTTGTTGGAAGTTAAGTTGAAGTGAATGTGGAATCTTACATTTCAAAAATCGAATTTTCAGTGTTTTCTTTTTGGGAGGAAGAGTGGATTTTTGGCTTATTGAAACTTGACTATATTTGGATTAGTACTTTGCTTTTTTCCATAAAAACGAAAATCTTGTATGATATACAGTAGTACCTCCCAATAAGGGACACCCTCTGGACCAGACATTTTGTCCCCTATTAAGAGCTAGTAAAACAGAACCTAATTCAAAGGGTTGGTGGGACCAACAGAATTGTCACTGAAATAGAGGTGTTTCTTACAGGAGATACTTACTACCTTACATATTTCATAATGCATAGTTTCAAACTAAAATTTTAAAAGATAATTTAAGCTTTAAGAGTTTGACCAATTTGGATTATATCCCATCTTTTAGTAAAAATATATGAAGCATAATTTTTTACATTAATCCTTCATAATGTATTTTCCCAATTTGGAGTTCTTTTGCAAGCTATTCTGTTGTGAAATATAAAATACATGTTAATGATTTTATATTTCCTTTGCGAGAATAATTTCAAAAAGCACTCACTGCATAATTCTTAAAGCTTTGTTATTTATTAGAATTCAAGAATCACTCTTAAAAATCAATCGTGTCACAAAGCTGCAAAAAATATTTTCTAAAGATTGATCTCAGACTCATGATTAGAATTTAATTATGTATTTGTTGTAAATATGTTAGATATGGTTTTAGGGACGTAAAGATATGTTGCTGATAATATCTGTGTGACTGCTATTGAAGGAAAAAACAATGAATAGGTTAGGCTTTGCCTTTGTTACTGTGTTCTTGTATGGCCACATGATTAGAGTAATATGATAGAATTGTTACAGTTGGTGGATTTAATTTGCCAGCTGATGGCACTTCAGTATTCTGAAATTCCCGTTTAAAGTTAATCCACTGCAAGTTATTTAGTCATTAATTTAACATGTTGGAATCATTTGAAATAAATGTCAATATGAAAATTAATATTTAACTGTTAATACATTTGAATTATTAAGTATAACAATAGAAATTACTTGCAGGTACCAGCCTTTAAACTTCAGATAGAAAATAAATATAAATTTCATTTTTTTCTATATTATTGTTTTTGTTATTTAATATGTTTTGATTAATATTCAATAAATGAGATTTAAAATTTATTTTTGTTATAAGATGTTACAGTTTATCAACTGCTTCCAGATCGAGCATTTAGCCCACATACAATTTGAGGCTGACACCACTGGTCTAAAGAATATTTCAGTTATGCTTTAACAGTGCATGCTACCAATGCATGAAGATATTACAAATTATGAAGTGCATGACACTGAGAAATGCATAATGTTATGCATATGTTAATGTATAACATTTTTATGTGCATGCTAATCAAATGCAGGAGAATATTATTTTAAATGTCAGGGTCTTTTTGTGTTAATTCCTTATTTTTAGTAAAGTTCAGTTAAGTGACTGTTACAAAGAATCTCAATTCAACAAATTTAATGCAAATTAAAACAACTGTTGTTTTATTATGATCTAGTTTAGCTTAGTGCTTTAAATATAGTTTTATTACATTTTTGTGTCATTTGTAGTAAAATTTCTGAGATATATTGTGTTGAAAATACAGCAGTATGTTATGTTTTGTAATGGTATTTTCATTTGTGATAGGTATGCTTTCACATCAATTAAAACAGTTTAGGATAGATGGTGAAAAATCAATAATTCAAAATCCAACAGAAGCTCAAAGGTTAGTGATATTTTATGGTTGAAAATTTCTCTTAAGTTGGGAAATATTTATTGAAAATACTGAAAATTCCAACTATCTTGAATATTTCAGGAAAGAGCATGAAAAGTGTGAATTTGAGTTGCATGAAGTTTATGCTATTGATGTTCTTGTAAGCACTGGGGAAGGAAAGGTAAAGATTATATCATATTCATTATTTTAATTTTGTATAATTGTACATTATTTTTCAAAATGATGTATGGTATTTTAAAAGACTATAATAAATTCATTTTTAAACAGAGAAATTGCAGAATGGGTTTAAAAAGAATAAAAACTCCAATATCTTCTTTTCTCTGGTACCTCTATTGAATACAGAAGGTATGGTCTATGATCGCTAGAATGAAAATTGGTGTCTCAGGAAGAGAAGGCATTTTGTGTCTTGCATTATGCGAAATCAGAATCTGTGATGTGGGTCAAACATGTGTTTTGTAGATCATTTGGAAAAGATAGTCCGACTGAGAAAAGCATTCAAAAGTAGTATCATCAGTTTGAACAGGCTTTATAAAAGTAGGCTACTTATTAGTAGCTAGAATGTTTAAAAGATAAGAACAATTTTTCTACATAGCCCAAAGAAATCAGCTAGCCAAGCAAATTATGAACTAAAACTTCGAACAATGGTGTGGTGTGTTTAGAGAAAATGATTGCAAATAAAACCTTACAGATTACAGATGACTTTATTTGATTTATTTGCTATAGACAAGAACCAACAAACTGAGTTTTGCATGAACAAATGTGAACATGAGGACGTTTTCCTTTCTTCCGTCTTGTCTTTCAGTCATGAGACAACATTCCATATCAGCAGGAAGGTAAACTTTTACAATGTTTAAATCCCGGAGGCAGAAAACCTTCACTGTGACGTGGAGCCTGAAGCAAAATCAGCAAAAGTGGATGTGGTCCCCCCTCCCCCGCAGTTTCGGAGACCAAATTGTATGGGCCATATTTTTCATGGAGGAGATAGTGATTGGCAACACGTATCTTGGTATGTTAAAGATCTGACTTTTTCCACAATTACAGAAAGACTCAAATAATTTTGTCCATCATCAGGATAGTATGCATCCATACTGGAAGCTGGAAGTCCATGAATTCCTCAACAGTGATTCCTAATTGTTAGATTGGCTGCACTGGAACAAATGGCAAATTGACATTTCCTTGGGCACCCGTGTGACTTTTTCCTGTGGAACTTAAAGAAAGATAAAGTGTATGTTCCAGCACTGTTATGCAACTTGGAGGACCTAAAAACACACATAGGTAATGGGAAGGAATGGACTGTTGTCTGCATGAATCAAGGAAGTCGTATCGAGCAACCACAGTGTCATAAAAATAAAAATATTCGAGTTGTCCTTTCCTTTTTATTTGTTTTGGTGTTTTTTTTTTTTTTTTTTTTTTTTTTTTTTTTTTTTTTTTATGATTGACTTCTAGTATGTTAAAATACCATACATCCTTTTGAATAACTACATGGTAAATTCTTGCATATACATAAAGATTCAAATCTTTTTATCAAAAATATTAATTCTTGTTGCAGGGTCGAGAGATGGATACAAGGACAACAGTATTTAAAAAAACAGATGAAGTGTATCAGCTTAAAATGAAAGCATCAAGAGGTATAAAAAAGATACTTATTTTAGTTAATAAATTTATTGGTTTGAGTTTGCCTGTTTTATAATTGAATTGTTTATTCCAGGTAGCACATTAATTTATTATTATTATTACTTGATTAATTGAGGGCTTTAATGAGGTATAAGTATATGCTGTTTGCTGATTTTTTGCTATCAATTGTTTTCATAACTCTACTCAAATTTAATGATTTATTTCCCACTTCCTAAAAAGGACAAATTTATTCTTGAGATGTAGACAACATTCAGTGTTGCATAAGCAGTTTTGAAGGAAGCTATCAATTAATTCTTGTGTAATTAACTGGCATCCCTTCAAAAGGTTCAAACTTAGCTGTTAGAGTAATCTTGTTGGGGACTAATATTCTACCAGTCTCCACCAATTGTTTCGAAAACAAGTTCAATGAGTACACTTGCCAATCCATTTGAGATCTTCAGATTCTAGATAATCCTTTACCAAACAAGCTTGAAAAGATCTCAGATTATTATCTGTTAAGTAGGAATTATGAGCCAATGATGCTCTTGAAAAAGGAAACTTAGAATAGGTTACACAGTTACATCACTTATAAGCTGATATAGCTATTTACAGTAATGCTGTTTTGGACATTTATAAAAACGTTTTCATGAGAACTTGCTCTTTTTGCTGATAGTTGATTGAGAATCTCAATTCTAATTACCAAGACTTATCCGATTTCTGCCAAAGCCGAAACAATTCGCCTTTCGTGCTAAACACTCCACTCAGGCCCAGCTGCCGAGAGTAGTGGAAATCATTCATACAGGTGCTCGTAATGGAAAGCCCACACCGATCGTCTGTTTAGACATAGCTAAAGCTTTCGACAGGTGTTGGCACATCAGCATAATATACAAGCTCATGCAACTTGATATTTCGGCTGATTTTGTGCGTCTTATGCCCTCCTATCTCACTAATCGCACATTTTGTGTAAAAGTTAAATGCTGTCGTCCCCCCCATCCTATCTTGGCTAGTGTACCTCAAGGGGAGCTAATAAGTGCCTATTTTTCAACCTGTATGTAAATGGCATTCCACGATCACCCACTGTCGATCAAACACTACATCATCTCCAGCAATACCTGTCAGATTTAGAGTCCTGGTCAGTTGACTGGAAAATAAAAATTAACGTTGCCAAAATTGCTGTCACAGTCTTCTTTTCCAGAAAGAGGAATGTCCATAGCCAACTCCAACCGTTCAAGCTCTACGCTGAAAACTTACCTTGGGTGGATTACTATAAATATATAAGAGTTTATTTGGATGTGAAGCTCATCTGGGGCATTCACATCTCCTATGCTATATCCAAAGCCAGAACCATCAGAAGTCAACTTATGCAACTAATATCCAGAAGAAGCCACCTCTCTCTCCGTAACAAAGTCCTGCTCTATTCAAGTACCATCATGCCAATCCTAACATATGCCGCATCCATCTGGTTCACCGCAGCTGACTCCCACCTGAAGAAGATACAAGTTTTTCAGAACATCACGCTTCACATCCTATCTAATGCTCACATAATGAAGTACTTCATTCAGACCTAAAAATTCTACCCCTCGATGCTTATTTTAAGCACGTTTCGGCCAAATTCTTTAACCACATTGAATGGATTAGTAACCCGGTCTTGCACTCCATCCCCGCTTACAATCCGGCAGAACCCAGCTCTGCCAAGCGACCTAGGGTTTTCATGGACAGATCTTTTAACATCTTCCCTAAGATGCCAAAAAAGGGTTTGCTTGCTTGACCAGGGAAACTAACTGTTTAAATTACAAGTACTTCACAGGCCTAACCCGGCTACTCATAATTTTACTTACCCCCCCCCACACACACACCTGATCTGGCATCGTTCTCTGCAAATACCATCCCCATGTTGCACTGAGGAAATTATACCCACTTTTACCCAGACTACTCTCACTCAATCATACTTCACTCACCTCCTATAGTTTAATAACTTAAATTCACTTAAATAGTCTTCTTAATGTAACCTCTAACGCCTAAGAATTCAAAATGAAGAATTTCTTCAAATACTGTAAGAAAATAACGTTTCTAGTGACTAAAACCTGCTCCTTCAGTTAGATAAAGCTGATGACTTCCCCCCAAACAACTCTTCGCACTCCTAATTTTTACTCTCCTTCTTCAGTCAATGCCCCACGCGCGCGACCACTCCAAGGCTCTCAGCTTCTTGCTTGGTTACAAAACCTGCCCTAACCTTTCCCTGAGGACCAGTACTTTCAAAATTGCAACCCACTCCATCAACTGTTTTGTCTCCATAGCAACCACTCACGCTGAATGCGTATCGGTTGCTCTCCTGCTGTACCTGAGTTACCTGCAGTTAAATCACAATGGGGGCTAAATGCTTGTACTCTCTGCTTGTGCTCTTAACAATAAGGACACCTTAGCGACTTTTTGACTTCAGCTTAACAGCTTTTCCTTTCACCTTTAACGAATGCTTCTCTCAATTATTTCATTTTTCATTAACGATGATGTGAAGGTAATTGCAATTAATTGCATAGGTACTCCATAACCAAACGCCTTGGTCCTTGGTCCAAGACTTATCCGTGAAAAGATTAACTTGTGGTTTGAACTGCATAGGGGTTAGTAAAGTACATTCTTCCACAGGGGAAAGTTTATGAAGTGCAAATCTGGGGTTACTTCACTTTGGAGATTTTTTTGCTGCAACTTACAGTGAACAGTAAAATTACTTACCTTCATCCTAATACTGCTTTGTAGTCTGTAATGAGTTGTTTAACCATTACCTGATGATTTCTTCTTCCAATTAGGGCTGCAGATTGGTTTTGAAAAGGATTGATGATTTTCATCATGGTAACAAGCCTCTCCTATAATATTAAATATTTGCCTGTTCTTAAGGTAATATTTGGAAGGTAATAACTTTGATATAACTATAAAAATCAGATAATGACTGAAGCTGTTGCTATTCCAGTTGGCCACTTAGTCAACATTCATTATATTTATCTGCGCATAATATTAATTCTCAGTTACCTTTGTAAGGAAGAATATAAAGTAAATTTCAGAGTATGTTTTTCAAACTGATTTCTTATTTGTGTAAATTGTGTTTGTTTACATGCTTTATTCTTTTTATTCATTTTTTTCACATGCATAGAAATACACCAATTTTAGCTGCATTTACAAATGTGAACTGTGAGTTTTCATTTTGCGCAACAAGTTATTTTGCATGTAAATTGTAAATAATTGCTAAACAACTACCATGAAATGTATTTCTTCCAATTTACACACCTATTCTTTTAGAGTTTAAAATTTGTGACTGTGTGTATTAATAATAAAATACTTTTTCCCTCTTTGGTGAATTCCTAAAAATTATATTTATTATAATTATCGTTGTTGATGGTGGATAGCTTTATTGATTTAAATCTTTTTCCCCTCCATTCTAGCTTTCTTCAGTGAGGTGGACAAACGGTTTGGAAATATGCCTTTTACTTTAAGGTAAAAAAAATAAAAATTGTGTGTTTATATGTGTGTGTATGTGATGATTTATTAATAAATTAGAGAAGGCATCAATTAACTCTGCTGTCAGGGTTGGGATGGTGATAGAAGATAACTTGAAACTGTTTTGTAGATAAAATGATGGCAATCAAATGTTGCCGCCTTAGCGATTAAACATATTTTATTTCTGAATAAAACAATTTTTTAGGAGCATATGCCTATTGTTCCAGTTTGAATAGAAACTTTCACTCTGCCGATGTTCCGGTTTGATTAGAAGCAAACTTTTTCTCTGCCTCAGAATGGCAACAGTAAGAACTTGACTTTCGATTTGTTATGATGCAGCTAGAACGCTGCTCATGAGATGTAACATTAGATTTGATTCTAGATTCTAGATTAGATTAATTTTAGTATTTTAAATCCTTTTAAATCTAGATTGAGTATTTGATAATAGAATTATAACTGAACCACCGCTTCCAGAAACTTAGATGTGGCATTTAGATACGTCGTTAGATGCGTAGGCAATGCCATTCGTTGATTCGATTAGTGTACATTAGTGCGTACATAAACACCTATTGTAAATCATTTAGCACAGTAGGTGCAGTCTGAAGCCCTGAAGGCCCCAAGTCTAATCTTTGGCGTTTGTGAACAATGGGCAATGGAGCAGCGAGATACAAGTTAGTCAGGCAGGAAGAATAGAAAAAGGGACTGCATATTTAAAAACCTGGGGTATTTATAAGCTTGGCTTCTTTGTTTGTTTTTAAAATGGTGATTGGATGAGCTTGCAGTATTGCAGACCACTGCAGAAGGAATGATGTCAGTGACACAGTACAATTTTTCTGAAGGGAGGACACAGGCAAATAAAATCGGATATTAAAAGGGCTATTGTCAATTAAAAGTTAGTAATTATCCTTCATGTTTTGTATCTTGCATGTATTTATCTTCATCCTTAGGAAATTTAGAATAATTTTTCTTATAGCATTTTATCTATCTATTATGTATATAATGGTCTTAATAATTTTGTATATTAAATTTTCTTATTAAAATTTCAATCGATCAAAATTAATTCACTGTAGACTTATGTGTAGAACTTTAAATGAAAAATCAAGCATGTTCAGTCAGTTAATACTTGTATTTAATTTAATATTTCAAAGAATATTAAAATTATTCAAAAAACATGAAATTTAGAATATCCTACTAATTTATTTTATGATTAGAATCATGTTGTTAATAGTTCAGTAACCTGAACCAAGCATTTTACAGTAAGTTTAAGTTATGTTTGGAATTCCTTCACAATGGTGTCGCAGTGCAGTGTGAAAACTCCCAGTTTCTTTGGTTTTTGCACAAAAAAATCACCCGGGTTTCCGAATTCCAAGATTGGTTGGTAGCTATGCAAAACATTTACAGTGGACTATATAAAGTCACATTTTGAGATTAATAGGCAAAAAACATTTATGCCAAGCTATTTCTTGGGGGGGGGGTCTCCCTTCATACAAAATATGTTATTTTTAGTGTCATCAATTTTGCTGTCTTTCAGAGATTAATATTGCCTTTCAAACTCATTTAATTTTATGAAAATGTGTATTAAGATATAAAATTTCTGCATAATTTTTAGTAAAATAGGTTTTTTTTTTTGTCTGTGTGATATAAATGAAAGTACATCTTTAAAAATGTTATTCAGTTCCTTCTAGACAAAAGTCAAGGTCATCTGCAGTGGGTAGCAATATTTTTGATCGTGAAGCATATTATAACTTTATTACAGAGATATATTTAACTGCTAAAAACAAAATAAAAAATCAAAAACTTGAATATTTATTTGAGAAATCGTTTTGATTAATGTATGATGAATTTTCATTTGTTGTTCACTTTGTACACAAACAAATACAAGCTTTTCATGTTAACGTACTCCCTTCTATGAAATTAAGAGCATTATATGTTAATTAGTATAAAAATTCAATAGATGTATTTCAAGTGTTAATCATTTGCTAATTTTAAAGTATGGAGCTGTATGTAGCTATCTTTACTACTATAAGACAATAGGGAGATAAAATTTTTAAGCATTAAAAAAGAGAAGTTTTTTTTAGTTTCAGTACTTTAATAAACAAATAATTACATGAATGAGAGACTTAAAAACAAGAGCTCTGTTATAAGAGAAATGGATAACTCAATTTAAAGGTGGCCAGTGGACAACACTTGGTTAAGATCTCTTGAAGTGTGCTATTCTGTCTCCATATGAATAAGAATCAAAGTACCAAGTTGGTGGTAGTTGCATTTTGCTGTAGAAAATTTTTTGCCATGTTTTGTTTTGTAATAAAAATATGCTAATGTGTACTAGTAGTCGAGTCATTAAGAAAGTGCTTTTGAATTTGTCTACTTATTGCAAATTTATAACTATCTTTAACTTAACATTGATTAATTTAAATTCAAATTCCACAATTATATTAATCTTTGCTGGTTATATTATTGGAATTGCATCATTTGGTGCTTAACCATTATTTTCGTATAAATCATATAAAAAAAAAAAAAGGTCTTTAAACTTTTGGGTCTTTAATGTTATATTTTCCTGGTTATTTTTCTCTTAGTTATAAAACAATTGTGATTTTTAGTTTATGAACAGTCACATTAAATGTATATTAACATCAACTTTACAGTATTTTGAAACAGAATTATCTCCAGTTTACATAAACAGTCAAATTTAGTATTTCTCATCACATATAGTTTCCAAATGTTTATAGCATGATTTTGCAGAATGAGTGTGTTATATTTGTATTACTTATATTTTTAATTGTGTAAAGGAAAATGTTTCTTTCTTTTAAGGTCCTTTGAAGATGAAAAGAAAGCTAGGATGGGTGTAGTAGAATGTGTAAATCATAAACTTGTAGAGCCATTCACTGTATTATATGAAAAAGAAGGTTAGTTACATTTAAAGTAGAATTAAACAATTTTATTATTCTTTTGCATGCAGTACAATTCCAATAACTCTCATCTGCCTTGAGACTAACAGTTTTATGGAGTGAATAATTTTAATGTCTTTTGAAGTTTTTTAATTTGATTTTAATGTCTTTTTAATGTTTTGTTTACACTTTCCCCTCTCTAATTTTCATGCTAAATTTGGATTGTGTGGTCATAAACACCTAAATAAAAAATGTGCAAACCTTAAAAATTATTCAAGTACAGTAATACCCTGAAGTGTCAGTCCGACAAAAAGCCGGCTGAAGATATAACTTTGCAATCAAATGTGTATGAATTTTAGTTAAATAGAGCCATGAGTTGTAGTTTTCTTACATGTCAATGTAAAATAGTATTAAAATTAATGTGCTGCTTAAAAAGGAGTTATTTTGATGTAGATACTGGCATTTTCACTTATAAGCAAAATGCAAGTATTGAAGTGAACACGAAAAGTATAATGATATGGTGCATGTAAAAAAGAGATTTTATGGAGGCATCTGAAATAACTGTCTCTGTTTGTGAAAGAAAGTGTGTATGTAGAAATGGAAAGTACCCTTAAACACTTGGTCGCTTAACATATGATTATGCGTTCTGTGGTGAAAATTTTTTCAGCGTGTTCTATCGTCATTTTGCTCCATTAATTGTGGAATATCCATAATGTTTATGGTGTATATTATATCAATAAGCTTTTACACATATGCATAAAAGCTGATTGATATCAGTACACATTTTTTTACACTATTTTAGAAAGATACTGATACTATTTTTTTTTTTTTTTTTTTTTTTTTTTTTTTTTTTTAGTATTAAAAATTAGAGTAGCTGTGAAGATATAATAATTCTTAACAGCTATGGTGTATATTTTTGCATGATATTATGTGCTTCTGATGCTTTGTCTTTTTATATAATGAGTGTATTTATTAACTTGATGTTATTCTAGACTTAAAATTGTAAAATTATATATATGTTAAAAATTGTTATTAAGTTTTTAATTTTGTTGTGTACATGTAGTACTGATTTTCTTTTTCTGGTATATTCATTTAATAAAATCACATACCTGTGTACTTTTTATACTATTATTTTGATATTAATAGTAAAAATATGTTTATCATTGTGTGTAAGTATTACATTTGGGGAAGTGAATAAATAGGCAGTAAAACCTTTATGAACTTAGTGTCTCTGTTAGTTCAGCCAACAATCAGTTAAGAGAAAACACTGAAGAAACGTAACTTAGAAAGGATATAATGAAAATCTAACATTAACAGATTTTTGTATCAGTAAATTATCCTTTGGGTTTTCAGTCACAGCTCATTTAATGGCCTACTTACAGGCCTAATGATAAATTAGTAGATATGTTTTAAAAAAAGTAAAGGAATGCGAAGACATCAATCAAACTGATATTTTTGATTGGGTTAATGTATGAAATAGAGAATTACAAAGAATCCATTCATGTCTTAAATACAATAATAAAGATAATAAAACTTGTAGTCCTGAAAATGATATTAACTATAATGGCAAAATGGAAAGGGACAGTGTGTAAAAATAGCTATGTTCCTTAATATATAGGACAACATTCTGATATTCATGTCTTGTCCTAAGGATCATTTGTTGGTCGATACTTCCACAAAAGGGATAAAAACTTCGAAAGAAGTCTCATAAAATGCATGTAAGAAATTTGAGAAAATTTTGAATTTTTTTATTTCAATTTTTTCCATGAATAGTTTTGTCCTAAAATCAAATCTTGAGCAGGTTGTTTATTTAATCAAAGGAAACACTAATAAAGAGTTTGTTAAAATGTTAATAATAGTACTTGTGCACTCACTTTTAGAATTTCGAGCAAATAATTTCAGAAAATCTTGTCGAAAGAAAAACTGATATGATTTAAAACTTAGTCTCTATTAATTAAGTTTTTATTTATCTGAGGTGGTTGTGCGTCCATTTGTTTTGAATAATTGAGGTTTTTCTGTGTTATTTTTCCTGTAATGTAGCAAGATTATTGAAGGTGTGCATGGCATCTGTAATTTTCTGTATGTCGTAAATTAAAAGAAAAAAAGAAAAACTGCTTTTTTGCAAAAATACCAAAAAGGAATGGGGGGACAATGTGCTGCACTGATTGGAAAATTGTCTAGAACTTCATAATGAACCTGATAATTCTTAGACTTACTGGAATGAGCCCATTCACCTTTTGACTAATTAGAAAATATGTAGTTTTTTGCTCAAAGAGCCAGTGTTGCAGTGAGCCCAAAATACAGATGGCTTCATAAAAAGAATGCAGATCAAACAGGATTTTTCTTTCAGTGCTTGCTTTAGCATAACTGCCAACTCTTCTGTTTTTCTTCAGAGTAATTACATTATCACACATTGACTGTGTAAATAAACTGCAGAAATAAGTGAGAAAACATATGTGTGTGTAATTTTTTGGTTGTTTGTTTTTATAGCTAACATTAAATTTCAAAGTATGGGCATTTTTCCCCTTCGTACTGTATAGCTCCCTTCAGATGAGGGTGTAAAGGGCATAAGTGGTTAAAGCCGAGTTTTGTTGCCAAGGCAACCAGTCTGTGCTATGTCACAAAATCTGGTTTAGGGCTCGTGGCATAGGGTTCAAAGTTTTAAACTTTACGCCGAGTTTTAGGATAAGCGTTGACCAATCAGAGCGAAGCGGCGTTCTACAGAATATTTCACTGTTACAAAACAAGCAGAGCGAACATGGGAAATCAAACGAGTAGGAGAACAGCGTAGGGAAGTGATAGACACATCCACTCATGCACAAATTTAGCTTCTCTCGTTGGCCACGGCTTACGTCCGTTCTCGCAGGTGTGAACGAAACTCCCGTATTTTATGCCCTTTACGCCACCGTCTGAACATAGCCTATGCCTTTATGGTATAATTTCGAGTACATACATCTAGCAATCAGGAAGTCCAGAGTTTGAATCCCAGTAAGAGCATTGCTGATCCTTTATGTTCCCTAACTCTGAAAATTCATAATAACTTTAGAGTTGCGCCCAAATTGAAAATGTGATGGATAACAATTCGCCACTACTAGTAATTGGCAGATGGAAGGTCTTACACTTTAAAATCTAGCCAGGGCATTGCTCTTTTTTTTTTTTTTTATGCTTCCTGCTCCCTATTAATTGCCTAAGTTTTCTAAATAGTGGCTTAAATATAATACAGCACTACATAAAATAGCAGACTTTTTTATATTCTTAACTTCTAATATGAAGAATATAGTTTTTCTCTCAGTAAAATAATACTTCTCAGTGTGGATGGGTAAATTATGTTTTTGTTTTTGAAATATTTTAATACAGAGTTTCCCAACCTTTTCATTCTTATGGAAACCTTTTGACAATGTTCAAATCTTAGTGAGTCCCAGCATCCATGTAGCAATATTTTTTTTTTAATATTTCTGTTTATGATCATTAATGGAAACAAAAAAAAAGTTTGTTTTTTGTTTTATTTCTTCATTTTAGTTGCTTAGTTCAAAACAAAATCTCCCAAATAATTTTTAATAAACCATCTGATTGTAAGTCACAGAGCTCTTCTATTAAGTTTTTCAAGTTAGGTTTTGGGGATGAACAGAAGATTGAGAGAATGTATTCCTCATCCAGTCATATAGTGTTGGCAGGGGTAGAAAATAATAATCAATTTTCTTTGACAACTCATCTGTGTGAGAGACAATAAAGCTTGAAAACTTTTGGTATCTATATTTTAAGATTCCCTTTTACGACATGATCTTTCCATAAATTTAATTTCCTTTTAAATCACTGAGTGAGTAATTTTTCTCTGTCATCTTGGATTAACTTATTCAATTGATTTAAGTGATGGAAAATATCTGCTAAATAAGCTGGCGTTTACGTCTGCATTTGATCCTCAAAGCATTTAATAAAATCTTGTTTGTCATTTTGTTGAAAATGTGTATGCATTTCTTTTTTTTCAGTTCAGCTACCTTGTAAAAACTCAGCATGCACTTAACCACCAAATTTCAGTGTATAACAACAGATTTGTGTACTTGTTATACATTTATTTCATGGAAATTTTTTAAATTCTGGAGTAAAGTGGCTGTTGTGTAGTGGAATTTACCATTTTTATAACATCATCAAATACCTTTTGTAGTTCATTGTCAAGAGGTGTTTATATTAAAATTTCTCTACGAGTAAAACATTGTGTAAAAACAACATTGGCATTTTTTAAAGTCATCCATGAAGGCAGCTGTATCTGTACAAATGCCAGTACAATCCTTTAAGGAAAGATCTTTCATATAGATATGCAGATAAAATATTAAATATATTTATTTCTCTTCTTCTCTCAAGTAATTCTTTACAGCAGAGGAAGTTTCATGAATTTCTCCCTTGTTAACACATCTTACAAATAACATTTGTTAGCTAAATCTGTTTACTTGAACTGAACAATATCCATTTTTCAATTTATCACACAAAGCCTTTTTAACATCATATGGCTTATTGATTTATCGACTTACTGTATTATTCAGAAGTGGAATATTTTCAGTTTCTCTTTCTGATTCTTCTCTCAACATTTTGTTCATGATAATTTTACAGGCAGGCATTATCAGATTTTCACTGACTGTGTGACTTTTCCTTTTCTGTGCACAGCTTTTCCACTAACTATGGATGTATTTACAAAAGCTGTACATTCTATTTATTTTGAGATTTTTAACGGTTTTAAAATAACAAATTTATTTCTCATAGTGGTATGCTTTGCTGTGAAATGTCTGTTCAGTTTTGTTGAGCCATTGCTGTGTTTGAAAGATTTTGCCACAAATGAGACACAGTGAAGGATGACATTCTGTATCACCAGCACTTGAATAAATAGCTTTTGTTGTAGTAACAACCTTTTTTGCATCTTTTTCTTTTTCAACTTATTTATCAGTCTTTTGAAGTTTTGTCTGAAATTCGAAATCTTCATGACTAGTTTCTTCAGAATTATCTGAATTGTTTGTAACCATATTTTAACTTAAAATCTGTAATAGAATTAAAAAATGAGAAATTAAACTGAATAAAATAGTAAAATAAAAATATGCACTACAACTCTGTTTAATCACATGATCCTACTTTTCTTGTATCACTAATGCATATGCAGTCACATTAAATTTTAATCTGTGATATTAAAGCTGCTTTCAGCTGTTGAGTTATGCTTAATTAGATTTATATTGCATGCATAGCCTTGGTGCAGTTGAATGAAAAATGTTAAAGAATAAGTAAAGCTCTTTACATTTAAAAAAAAAAAAAAATCATTCTTTTCTTTCTTTCTTTTTTCTTCCCCCCTATTTGAATTGGTAACAAAAGTAATAAGAAAATTAAACAACTGTTGAAAATGTCTGAAGAATCTAGCTAAGCCTAGCCAAACAACAAAGGCAGCTTTTCAATTATCATCGATTTGGCGCTTGCTAGAGTCACACACCCCCCCCCCCCCCCCCCCCCCCCCGGTTGAAATTACCCGAGTAAAATTGTTTTCCCTTTTATAGCATACATGTTATTTCCTTATTTCTTTCTGAACTCTGGTTGGCAAACACTGTCATAATATGTATTTCAGATATTGATAAAATTTTAGGTATTTTTATAAATGTTATTTTGAATGTTTAAAAAGAAACATAAGCTAAACTTATTTTTAATTTTAGGTGAACATGTTGCACAGTTTAAATTTACAGTGCTGCTAATGCCATCAGGATCTCATAAAATTACTTCTGGTCCAATTGATTTAGATTTATATGAAACAGAATTAGTAGTTGATGATGATTCTCTGAAAGTGAGTCTTAGTCTTTTATTTAATGAATAATTTTATGTTTGAAAATATTTTCCTGTGCCAGCATGTATAATACGAGGGTTGGAACTTTAATAGTGGCAACACAGCTGAAAAAACGCTACGCAACAAAACCAAAGAATATCACGTATACCACGAAAAAACGCTATGCAACAAAACCAAAGAATATCACGTATACCACACGTGAACTACATACCTACCTTACCTCTCAGCAAAAAGACTCGTCATGCCTACGTCATGCGCATGCGGAGTGACACGAAGAATGGATCCTTGTATTAGCTCGCGGTCTAAAGTAAGTGTTGTCATGAAGTTTTCAAAACAAGAACAACGATGTTGGATAAAAATTGAATGTGCCAGAAGTCGTACTGCACGACAGTGTCATCAAGGGCTTCAAGAAGCTTGCGGGGAATCTGCATTGCCTTACAGAACCGTAGCAAGATGGGTGAAAGCATTCAATGAAGGACGCCAAAACGTGGCAGACATGCTGCGGCCAGGTCCTCCGATGTCAGCGATGCAGACGTGCAAGCTGTTGCCGCACTAATGGACAGTGATCGCCGCCAAACGATTTGTCAGCTGGCCGGACAAACAGGATTAGCGCATACAATTGTGCTGCACATTCTGAAGGAATGCCTGTCCATGAGAAAAATTGCTTCACGATGGGTTCCACATCAATTGACGGAAATGCAGAAATGGCTACGATACGATGCTGCCCGAAGTTATGGTACCGAAAGTTATGGTGATTCTTGTGTACGACTGTGATGGTGTCATCCTAACGCATACCGTTCTCCCACAGCAGACCGTCACTGCGCAGTATTATTGCTCATTTTTGGAGCACAATCTCTGACCAGCTTTGAGGGAAAAAAACGGCGACGCTTTCTACAGAACGCTCCTCTCATTTTGCATGACAATGCTTGGCCGCATGCAGCGCAAGCTGTGACTGATTTGTTCAAGCGATGGGGCTGGGGAAATGCTTTACCCATCCACCATACTCCCCAGATCTAGCCCTTGTGACTATGACTTAATTCCTAAGATGAAGGAACCACTCGTGGCACTCGCTTCCAAACTGTTCCTGAGATTCTTGCGGCAAGTAGACCGGTCCATTCAACTATCAACAAAACGCGCTGCACAGGTACTCTGCAACTTCCACATCGTTGGAAACGGGTTGTACACACTGCTGGCGACTATATTGAAGGACTGTAAAACATGGTGACATGAATCACTTTAGTATTCCTTGTAAATAAATAGTTGCCACTATTTAAAGTTCCAACCCTTGTATATGGAGTAGAGCATGTGATAAATATCTGGTAATATATATTTTAAATGCATTATCTGTATTCCTATAAATGACAAGATACTTCTTGAAAGAAAAGTAGAGTCACTTGTGTATCATCAAAGATTATGAGCACTTGACAGAAATGTAGATTAGCAACAGTCATAATAAGGGCACAGTAGCTGAGTGAGATTGAAACGGGTATGTTTATCAATACCAGTTTGGTAATTTCATTTATGAGATTTTTGATAAGTACTAGTTGCATGCAGCGATGAGTATTGTAATTGTGAAACTGAAATATGAGATGATTATAAAACTCCAGTTCCAGCTTTTAAACTGAGAAAATATGTAGATAGAGGTTGATACCATTGTCATGAAGCCAAACTGGCAAGTTATGTTATAAACTGTGTTCACAAACTTTTGATTGGCAGCTAGAAGCTGTGCTGGTATTCATGTCATTTATCAACAATTTTTGTGTTTGGATTCCATGGGAAAGTTGAAATCTTGACATTTAATAGAATGCAAAAAACTTTTGAATTATAACCTATAAAATTTTTACCATCATCTTAAGGTAGATGTTATTTCTAAGTATACCTGCAAAAAAAAAATAGAGTTTTTTATTCAAAATTTCCTAAGACATACATGAATGTACATTTTAGCAGGTTTTGAAGTTTCGCATATTCGTTATAAATGATCAGAATGCCAAATGTAATTTATGCACTTTCTTATAATTATTTGAAAATATGAATGATACCTTTTTTCCCGCTCATATACAATGAAAAAAAGGAGTGGATTATAAAACTAAGAAGTTCACCAAGATAAATTTTTGAATTTCTTGTAAATTTTGCACTAAATTTTACAAAATTTAATATTTAGGGATAACTTGAGTCATAGAATCGGAATATGGAAAAAAATTGGCATGTCATTTCAGAAAGAGGACGTTTTGTGTATGAAAATACCTATATTCGAACAATGCTTATATAAATCTAATATATAATAAATTACGCTTTTGAGATATGAAAAACACAATGTGAATTTTGCCAATCAGCGCACGAAAACGAAAAATATTGAACTGTCCCTCCCCTCCACAGTGTACCTGAGTGAACATAGTTAGGTGGATAATTTTGTTCTGTCCACTCCATGACAACATTTAAAAACTAGCCCATATTACTTTCAGTATGACAAATCAACCATTCATAAAGCAAAAATCATAATCAAGTTTGAAGAAAGGGAATGAACGAACTTAACTGGCGAACTTGAAGGCCTGTTGGCTATTTGAGAGCCAGATCAAGTTACCACAGAACTATTTGTCATATCACACAAGAAATGAAACAAAAGGCCTGCAGATGTTTGCTGAAACATAATGGAAATTCTTCCTGAAAAGGTATACAGTTGTTAATATCAGCAAATGACAGACGTACATCATATTGAAGTCATAACAGTTCCTACAGTTGTTCAATCATTAATGGCAGCATAGTTATATATTGGTGTAGACTTAATTATAGTAATGGTGCAGATGTTTATAGAAATTACTGAATCTCTTATGTTTATTGTATATCAGTTAAGCATTGCATACAAAATAAAAGCTATAAATAACCAAGTGTTTATTGCTTTTAAATCAACATGTTAATCAACAACAGCTATAATTTGTTAAGATATGTTAAATTTCTTATTGCAACATATTCCTAATTTTGAATATGGTAAACAGGTGATTACCTTTGTAAGGATATTTTTTATATCACAAACAAAAATAAACCCCTTTTTAAAACATTTTGCTCAAATCTTTCTTGTAATCAGTAACTCAGTAACACTTGTTTGCCAAAGTTTATATGGAATTACAAAATAAAAATTATTCAAACTTTGTAATCTGTGCCGTTCTA